TCACGTGACTGAAACTCAGCAGAACGTCTCGCTTAAATAAAACAACAAAAAGAAAACAAACAAACAAGAAGGTGAGATGTCAAACTCTGAAGACGCTCTGCTTTCGGAGTTTAGTCATCCTATAAGAAACCAAATATCTAATGATGAAGGAAAACAACATTGATCTATTGATGAAGCGATAAACAATCGCGTGAGACACGCAACCGTCTCACACATCGAACCATTCATCAGCTGATTCTACCGTATGCTATTAATTTAAAATTCGCTTGAGGATCAGGACTGAGAATGGCTTGGCCGACGACCGCGGCTGCGTCGCGGTTGCTAATTTTCCCGAGCATAGCTTGAGTTTCTCGGCCTGTTGGCCTACTGGCGAAGGTTTTCTGAGGATTTCCTGGAATTTTTGGAATTTTGATTTTATCTCATTAGAATGTCTGAGAGCTTGTCCTGAAGAATATATCCCTTATTTGCTACTTTGTCCTTTCACTTATTCTCTGCTCACCACGATGCTTCTTTTTGTCATATGTTTTTCTGAACATTTCATCTAACTCTGCTTACAGCGATTGCTTATTTTTAATTTGCGTTTTATATTTCGTGTTTTAGATCTTTTTTTTCAAAACGCGTTTATTGGTTGTCGTCCGAGTTGAGTAGCATCATCGGAAGTTTGCTGCCATGGCCGATACCGATAAACTCAACTTGGACAATATCATCGCAAGATTATTGGAAGGTAGATTTGAGCTTCGAAGTTTTGCTTTTGAAAGTTGTATGTTGATAGTTCCGAGATACTTATGATTATACCAGCAATAAGCGTCTTTAGTGGACTGCGCAATGATTGGATGTTTGCATTGATTTTATTTTCTGCCAAATGTTTTGGATCCAGGAAGTTGCTATACGAAAATCAAGCTTTGGCAAATTGTTGTATAGAACATCAACCATTAATCTCCCGAACTTAAATTACCTTGACTTTTTTTGGTGCCTCACTCATGGATCTAATGTCAAAGGATAGTCAAGTTGGAGGGTTGTGTGCAATGCACCGAGGATGGATTTTCATGAGATTTGAAAACGAGCATCAGTGCATTTAACTTATTCATATAGCTTCATCAGCTTATCTTATTTAATTAGGACCTTATAAAATATGGCTTCACTATCATTAGCGGTTCAACTGGTCAAATTTTTGAAAATCAGTAGAAAAACTTTAACCGATGTATTGCTCTTTGTTACTCCTATTGAATTTACTTGCTATGTTTACCGTTCTTTTGGGATTTTATTCAAAAAGTTGCTTTGAAAATTTGCTATGGAAAACTCTTGTTTTTCATACTCACTGTGCGACTGGTTCTCTAATAGTCTAAAAATCAGTTCTAACCATTTCAGTACGAGGATCCAAACCTGGCAAAAATGTACAACTAACGGAAAATGAAATCAAGGGATTATGCATAAAGTCACGCGAGATCTTCCTTAGCCAACCTATACTGCTCGAATTGGAGGCCCCTCTAAAAATTTGCGGTAAGTCCTCATTATAATCCAGGGTATTCATCCTAGATTCTACATCATGGAATTGGCTTACTTTTTCATTGTTGAAAAGGCGGTTGCGGTACCTGATCAAAGAAAAACTGCAAAGTAGTCCATTGACGAGTGACTGTTGTTTTCATCCTACCCCTCTATCTCGCTGTAATGTGATAGATTGTTTGCCTTTGAAAAGTAACTACAATTTTTGGCTTCTTGTTCCAAAACTGAAGCAATAGATCATACATTCGAATTGCCATTTCCTTCATATGTATGTTTTGTACGTTAGGTATTTATCAGTGTTAACCATCAAGTTTCGATTATATTACTTGGCCCCTTGATTCTGAAAGCATGTGCAGCTAGCACTCTGAAGTGTAATGACTATTTACTTGCTGAAGAAAATATTCTTATTTTATACCTCTAAGTTCTTTTGTAAGAGGAATTTTGAGTTAAACACAAAGTTCAATCAGCATCTAATTATATTGCAATATCGTCGGAAATGACTGTGAAAGAAGTGGTTGAAAGCCTAAACTCATTAATT